AGAAACAGACCAAAAGGGGAGAAAAACACCAAAAAAAAAAGTGAAAATAGTATGCTTCTATCTGCATTCAACCAAATTGCACCTACTTGATAAAATAGGGTATTATTTTTTAGGTAAAAGACATGTCCTTCGCAGGTAGGCCATCTCACCAGTTTCTAACTCATTAAAGCCTGTGTGAGATCTAAAGATAAGAAAAAACAGTTCCTTTCCCATTATTACAATGGGCTTCCATTTTTTATGAGGCTTGTTTTATCAGAGGCCTTTTTCTTGGCCAAAGACCGGGGTGACCACTATAACCCAACTCAAAGGTGCTGAAGATGTGAATTTCTACCTATAGAAGTGAAATTAAATGATGGACCGAGCTCTTGTGTGGCACTGAATCTAAATTACTGATTACATGCTGAAACTGTTCATGTAACCCCTATTTGAGGAAACTCCTTTCCTAATTCAAAGAAACCCTTGCACTAAATGTATTACAATGCTTTTTTGCTTATGTAAGGAGCTTAGGGTTTTCTTTGAAGTAGACCATAACTGCTCTTAACCTCTTAGAATTGCCCTATTAACAATTCAAGTTTTTTTCCCTTTTGTAACAAGCCTTTCTGAACTTAGTACTTGTTAAGAGTAGGCCTAACTCAGGAGTATAATTGATGTATTTACCAGTTAACAAAAAAGGATTTACTTAGCCACAGCAGGAGAAGGATATTCAGGAAGGAGAGGGGGCTTGAGTTGCACATCATGGTCAACTAGCCAAGAAATACTAGAAGATGCCTGGAGCACATCAAGGCTGCTTTATTCTCAGGCAACCAGGAAGGAATGTCAACAGCCTGGGTCTTTAGGCTCCTGAACCAACCAAATCTTGAGGATGATCTCAGTAACTTTTATTTAATTTTTTGCAAGATGGCTTTAAATATTATTTAATGTTTCAGACTGTCAAGGGCTTCCCCTCCAAAAAAACAACAACAACAACTCAAAACAATTAGTCTGATAAGGGGTCCGACTGGGAAGAAACAAGTGAGGCCAATCCTGCCAGTTAGGTTCCTTCTTTTACCAGGGGTCTAGTCATACAAAACATTTTTTCTACTAGAGAGTGAGAATGGTAGCATGAGTAAACCCAAAGCATAATGACTTCCATATTGCCTGTCTCCCCTTTCAAATTCCAGACACAGGGAGATTTAGAGAAAGCATATCAGAAACAGGGGAGCTGTTGTCTCCTGATTCTGCCCTGTGGACCTTTCGCTTTTCCCATCCCGAGGCCCATGAGTAAGCCATCAGTATGAGGGACCTTAGGCTAAGCACAGAGAGGCAGACCAAATGGAGACTGTGTTGTGTGAAGGCCAAGCAAAGGAGGGAACTTCCTGAGTCTTCCTGGATGGGGACTTTAAAGCAAGTACTCAATGACCCACCTGAGATGAATTACAAGTTACAGGTGGGAAAACAGGAACAGAGCTATAAACGTTAATATGGAGACCCATTTTGCAATTCAACATCCGCTCTCCACCAAACTTCCCAATGAGACAAGCACCCCGAATACAATCACTTAACTAGTTCAGTGTACTGGGGGGATGTGACCCGAAAGGTATGCTAAGAGAAAACAGTTCTGTACAAGATTCTACTTGGCACTATCCTCCATCATCATCCCTTCCCCCAAAACAAAGGAGCCAAACGTGGTGTTTATGAAATACAAACATTTGCCAGACCTGTCTGTGGGCTTAAAAAACAATTTTAAAATTTGACATTAACGATACCTTTTTTTTAAGCTACCAAAAGAGGCAGGGAAATGGGTCTGTTCCTCTCCCCTCCTTCCCCCAAAAGAGGGGAGATCACAAGTGCTGATGGACCACCTCATCTCGCTACAAAGTTTATCCAGAGAGGACTTAATGACGAACACTTCACAAGAAAGCCGAGCTGTGATGGGTTTAGGCTTTCATTCTCAACCCAGAATTGCTCTTCACCTTGCCAAAAAGCCTGAAGAATAGGTCAACAAGGTATTCGGAATCCATCTTCCTCCCACCACTAGGTGTGGAGTGTACTATGCATGCTGTGATTATTCCTGAGAGAATCAATCTGTTTCACTGAATTAAGAACAAACCTGTGCCCCCCTGGGCTTTGCGAAGGAACGGCGTGTTCGGAGCCACCACCCGAGTGTGCAAGCACATCTTCTTTGAGCTATTCAACTTTAACAAGCACAACTGCTGTATGAATTGGATACCACACTCTTGCAGGTGGTCCCCTGTTTTGCTGGCCATATCCAGGTCAATCTCTCTCAGGAGAATGAATTGAATTATCATATGACATCCAAGCCAATGCCTGCCAGAAGCCCAGCACATTCAAGGGCTACCAACCACCAACCACCAGTGTCTTTCTGGGCATTAAGACAGGGGGAAAAGGTCATGACTGCTGATGAATATCTTGTCTCCTAGGATGCCACCAGTGGCAGTGAGAAATCTCTTCATCGTGTAGAATTTTTCTTTGTCCTTGTTACTGGTCCCCTTAATCTTCTGGGATGAACTTGTCAGAGGTCATAGAACATCTGGTACTTGTCAAAGCAATACAACAATTATGGGATTTTGCCAGAGGATGAGATCATGGGTGAGAGCAAAGGATTGTTGTTATGCCAAGCTCAGGGTACGGCCTGCTTGCCAAGTCTTAACTCTGGAAAACAGGGTGTCTCCGAATATCTTGACAGGAACTACAAAAGAAGACGGTCTCTACTTCCAGAGAAAGAAATGATAAGTAGAAGAATGCATAGTATGGTTTTGCACACTTACACATACACACTCACATATGCCTGTGTCAAATGGCGGCCTTCACTACACCCTTCTCTAGTGTGGGGTGGGGAGGGAGGTCAACAATTGGGAATTTAAAATGCAAATAAATAAAAGTTAAAAAAAGAAAACTAGAAAGATAAGTTTACTTTAGTAACTAAAAGGAGATATATGATGTTGTAGAGATAACATTCTAATGGGGGAAAAGAAATATATTTATCTTCATCACCTCAGTGTCTGCAAGGGTACCAAGTTAAAAAAGAAAAATATATGACCCCAGGTGTATTGTTTAGGATCTAAGAGGAGGAAGAGAAGGGAGGGTAAAATGACTATACTGATTTAGTTTTTTTTTGTTTTTTTGGTGAGGTAATCAGGGTCAAGTGACTTGCCCAGGGTCACACAGCTAGTAAGTGCCAAGTGTCTAAGGCCACATTTGAACTCAGGTCCTCCTGACTCTAAGGTTGGAGCTCTATCCACTGTGCCACCCAGCTGCCCCAAATGTACTGGTTTAGAAAAGAGAGAGAAGGAAGAATGGATTTCTCTCAACCGGGGTGCAAAAGGAACAGTATACACACGGAGGAAAGGACAGGGGAAGCAGGCATCAGATGAACCTCCCTCTTATCTGAAATGGGCAAAAGAATTTTGGATATACAGACATGCAGAAAGAGTCTGGAGTAGAAATACATCCAAGTCAACACTGAAACAGAGACATGAGGATGGAAGAGGAGGAAAGAGAAGGGCAATTCATGCTAGCATCTTTGTAAAGACAATTTTGAGAGACTTGAGAACTCAGATCAATGCAATGACCAACCATGTTTTCAAAGGACTTATGATGCAACACATGTTGTTTAACACTGTATGAAATTGTTTCCCTTGACTGTGCTTCTTTGTTACCAGTCTTTTGTTTCTTTGCTCTTGGTTTTCTAATGGGAGTGTGAGGGAGAGAAAGGAGAGTCAGCAATACTGATGAAAAAAAGAGGTTGTTGAAACATTTTTTTAAATGCACAGAAGCAAACAGAAGGGAATACAGACTAAGTGAACAATTTTGAAAATAACACGTGCAATTTAAAATACAAGGGCTATGAAACAGTCACACGTTCATATACCATCCTTTTTGTGCTCTGCGGCCTAAAAAGGAAATGCTTTTTTTTTTTGGCATTTGGATGTACACTGGCCGTAAATTGTGGCCCATTTCTGTTCAACCGTGCCCACCATCCACCTCTTAGTAACTGCTGGGAGGTGACCTTCTTGAGGGGCAGTATTCTTCCCTTGGGGACTTTTGTGGAGAGTTCATTCTAACATGACAAAGAAATGGAATTAAGGCTTATTTTTTTTTTTGGTCTTCCAATTTAGTTGGGTTTTTTTTTGGGGGGGGGCAGAAGAGATAATTTTGGGCCCGTGGAGTATAGAATGTACTCCGGACAGCCGGTTTGAAATGTTAACAGCAGCTGGTGATGTGGGACTGAAACCCAGGGCACAGACAAGGGCTGGATTTACAGATCTGTGAGTCACCGGCCCAAACCCCATCGAGGGCCACTGGAAGCCACCAGGTCAAGCCTCCTGTCTCCCCTCTGGACTCCCGCAAAGGCCCCCTCCCTCCACGGCCATGGTGGGACCCGACACAGGCTTGACTGGGTAAACTGCGCTGGCTCCTTCACTCTCTCCTTCCCTGACCGTCCACTCCTCCTAGGGTCTCCCTTCACATTTCACATAAATGTCTCAAAAGAAGGTGGTGGGCTGTCCTCCAAGGGTAAGTGGGTGGGCCAGCACCTCGAATCTGACCTCGCTTCACCTTCCCGGCTCAGAAGCCCTGCCCAGAGCCTGGGGGGGGTGCCCCCGGATCTGACAGCTGGGGGGTGCCTGGCAGGTCCCTGACCCTTTCTGCTCCGGCTTCCTTATCAAGGATGTAGGGCTGGCCCACACCTGCCCAGGCAGCCTCAGGCGGTGACGCGGGCATTCTCTAAGGAGTAAGCTGGCTTTCTATTCTAAGGACCCACGCAGTATACAGAGGCCGAGTTCCGCAGTCAGAGGACCTGGCTTTACACCCCGAATCTGACCCCGAGTAACCCCTGTAACTTCGGGTGGTTCACTTTTATTCCCTCTCCGTTGAGTCCTTCCAGTCCTGTCCGACTCTTCGTGACCCCATTTGGGTTTTTCTTGGCAGAGATGCCAGAGCGGTTTGCCATTTCCTTCTCCAGCCCATTTTAGAGAGAAGAAAACTGAGGCAAACGGGGTTCGGTGACTCGCCCAGGGTCACCCAGCTGGGAAGCGTCCGAGGCTGGATTCGAACTTTATTCCCCAGAGAAGAGCCTACTCTGGGGGAGGGCGTCGTTAGATGCTGTAGAAAGGCCGTCCACAAGTCCAGGGGGTACCTACTACGTGCAATCACCAGCAATCACCGATGACAACAAACACGAGTTTTCGGGTGCTCTGTGAAGCCAGGGTAACGGCACCGGAGGAAGGGACGGTCAGGGAGGACGCACAGTCCCGACCCCGAGGGCCTCCCTGGAGGAGGAGGCACGGCTGGGCCATTCAACAACAATTCCGGCCCTTTTCCTCCTCTATAAAGTGGGGACCTGGGCTGGCCAGGTGATCTAGGTCACGTGCCCCAGAACTGCGCGTGCAACACCCCACTCGAATGTTACGACAATCCCGCCACAGCCCCGGGCCTCGCGCGTGCGCAGAGCGGCAGCCGCGTGCGCAGAGCGACAGCCGCGTGCGCAGAGCGACAGCCGCGCGCGCAGAGCGACAGCCGCGCGCCCAGCACTCCCCTCCCCCCATCTCCCAGCGCCGCGCACTGATGCCGTCAGTCTTCGGCGCGACCGAAGACGCCTAGGAGTCACGTGAAGCGGCACGCGCTTCGCCTCGCTTCTATTCCCCTCCCTCTCTCCAGGCTCTAGGGCCGCAGCGCTCCCCGGAACGGAGGTGCCATGAAGGAGACGCCGTTATCTAACTGCGAGAGGCGCTTTCTGCTCCGAGCCATCGAGGAAAAGAAGGTAGGGAAGGAAGCCCGCGCGCCCTCGCTTCCTCCGTCCTCGCGCACGCGCGGCCTCGAGCCCGCTGTTTAGAGGCTAGGTGGGGGCGGGCCGGGGGGCGGAGCAACTGTCATTCTCCCGGCCCGCCCCCTCCCTGGCGCGCGTGGAGCAGAACGCATGCGCCTTCGGATGTCCGCGCGGGCTCGCGAGCCTTTGGGCCGCGGCCAAACAATCAGTGTTAGAAGAGGAAAGGGGTCCGATCGGAGCGCCTCCTGGGTACCCGCTCCCCAGTTTCCTCCCCCCCCACTTCCGGGTTTATGGCCTTATGGGGAAGCGGCTCCGAACTTGAATCTCTGAAAAACCGGGCTTCAGTACTGCCATGGACACTCCCCCTCCCCCCCCCGCTGTGGGCGCACGCGCGCTTTAGGTGTCCCGGACTGGAGGGAGGCGGCGCGCTCGCGCTCCGGCGCCTCGGGAGGATGGAAGCCTCCCCTCTCGGTGTTGTCCTGTGGGGCCCTCCCGGGCGGGGAAGCCCCTCCTCCGCGCAGGCTCGCAGTCCCAGAGGGGCAGGGACGTGTCCCCTCCCCGGCTGTCGGGCCAGCTGCCTCTCCGTGAAGTGTCAAATACAAAATAAACCGCCCCGAACCCGGAGAGGCGGCCTGTGGGCGGGTCGAGGAAGGAGGTGGGAGGCCGTGGGTCGGGGCCACGTGATGCGGGCGGGGCCGGGCGCCTGCGTGCTGTGCGGCGGCCTTGGGTGCGCTGGGGTAGGGAGGCGGGTTGGCAGCCTCGGTCCTGGAAGTGTGCCCGGGGCTTCTGCGGGGCTGTCCTCGGACCGGGCACGAGCTGCGGGCCGGGACCTGAGGGGGCTGGGCCGAGGGGAGGGCGGTGAGAGCCGGCGGCCGGCTGGGTGGGGCTGAGTCCGGGTCGGGGAAGGCTGGTGGAGTCGAGGGGCCCCAGCGGGACGGTCCCGCCGCGGACTCGCGGGGAGCGCGGGGCCGGGGGTAGGGGTAGGACGCCGGCTGTGCGGGTTGGGGGGCGATGTGCGGAAGTGATAGGGAGGGCGCGGAGGAGCCGAGGCCGGGACCGAGGCTGATCCTCTGGAAAGGAAGAGGAGACCCTGGACCGCGCCGGAAACATGCCCTTGGTGCTGCCCCGGCCCGCGGGCTTCCCCTCCCAGAGGCCGGTTTTTTTGACTACGTAAAAGAGGCCATTCTTTGCTGCCTCAGTTTTACCCAGCCTTACTCACCGAGTGGGCTGAGACATGGGAAGGATCACGGCCTCCTACTGCGTCCTGTACCTGGGGCCCTCTGCAGTCGTCCTGCTCTATGGCTGGCCGCTGAACCCAGATGGCTTCAGAGGAGAGTGAGGCCTGTGACTGCTCAGCCCTGCCTCCCCTAAGCCCAATTCACTTGCAAGTCAGTACATCTCTTCCCCCCCCCCCCCGCCCGAGGTCATGGTCCTGAGAACGAAGGACAAGCAGTAACCAAACCCAGCACTGAGAAAAGGCCTTTGGATTTAGAAAGAGAGAAGTCATTGGGAGAGAGCAGCTTCAGGTGACTGAAGAAGCCAGATCCTGGGAGTTGGGAAGTGAGCGGGAGGGGAGATTTTTCAGAGGTGTCAGTTGTGTTGTGGATGGTGTTGGAATCTGGCTACAGATCCTAGGAGTTCAGAAGGCTCACCTGGGAAACAAGGATACTTGTGGAGACATGGGCATGTTAAGTCACTTCCAAATGGAAGGATTGGGCTAGAGAGACAGACTGTGCCACATATTGAACCATTTGAGAAAAGAGGGAGAATGAGCCACGGCTAGTCAAGAACACAATGTAAAATCTGTAGGTTGGGGTGGAGTAAACCTCAAAAGCTCTCAATAGAGGTTTAGAAGGGTCTAGAAGTGAAGGGAGGAGCAAGGTGAAGTGCGTACATATCTTCTGGCCTAGTGTGTCTGGCTGTTTGTTACACACTAGTCCAGCCGAATTGGCCTTCTGGCTGCCCCTCACACCATGTTCCATCTCCTGTCTCCATCCCTGGTATACACTCCCTAGAATCCCTGGCTTCCTTCAAAACTTACCTCAGGGGCCACTCCTACATGAGCCCTTCCAGATCTCTACTCCTTCTAGTGCGTTCACCCACCACCTTGTCTTTATTTAAGTTGATCTCAGCCAAAAGGCCAAAAAGCTCTTGGGCAGCGGGTACTGTTTTAGCTGACTTTGTATCCCTAGCACCCGACACAAAGGTGCCTAATGTTTGTGGATTGATTGGGGTCATGAGAGAAGATACATCTAGTATTGGAAAGAGTGCCCAGGGATTCATTGTTTTCTGTTGCAAGTGTTTTCTGCAAGGAAAAGGAATGTAAGCAGATGTCTAATATGTAAGGTAGTTTGTTTAAAAATGGAATGATTTGGGAAGGATGGGGCTGACATGGATGCATGTGAGGGAATGAGGACAGGTACTTAGCCCGAGCCAGTGGTTCTCAAAGAATAGGCCATAAATTTCAGGTAGATGTTATTTCAGATAAAAAAAATTCATAAATAGTTTTGTTAATATACATTTTACTTACCTAGTGTCTATATGTTAAATACAGATAAATAAACCTTGTTACTGATATATACCAACCTCAAAATATTTCAGACCCTGAACTCATGAAAAATTCAAAAGTCGCTACTATTATTGAAGGGAAAGTGGATGCACTCAAGTCTCCAGACTCTTTCTTAGAGGTGCCTCAAAGCAAAGAGAACATACTGTGCGCCCCCCCCCCCAAGGAAAAGGTTTGAGAACCACTGGTCAAGAAGGGAGCCTTGTGATAGTAGAATGTCTATTAGCAGTGGTAATGTTTATCTGATTACACCCTGAGCAAGATGGGAAAGCACCCTCCAAAGCAGTGGCCAGATGCCTGTTCTGGTAGGCCCTGGTATGAGACTGGATGAAGCCTGGCCTGGGGTTCAGGGGAAGTTTGATTTGCCCTCTTCTTGCAGCTCTGCCCTAAAGGAAGCCCCGAGGTTGAGTGTATTCACTTGGTGGGATAGTAGGATCCCTGGTGACAAGAGACATCTTCCGTTAATCAACAAACATTTACTCTACCACATGCCAGTATGCCTGGTGCTGAGGATGCAGTCCCTGTCCTTAAGGAGCTTACATTTGAGTGGGGGATGAAGCATATTGTAGTAAATGCACCAGATAAGAGAATAAATACAGTGGTTTGGTGAGACTTGGAAAAAAGGAAATCAGGAAGGCTCGAAGGAGGTGCCACTTGACCAGGAGAATGGTGTGTGCTCAACAGAAATAAGGAAGTTACGAGGAAGAGTTGGTTTTGTTGAAAAGATAGTGATTTCTATTTTTATGTTGAGTTTGAGATGCCTACAGTAGGCCATGGCATCTAGGTAGAGGTATAAGAGTTGAGTGTGCGTCTCTGGGAGTTTTCTGGGTAAAGATCATAACTGAACCCATGGTTCTTGAGGGCAAAAACAGTTCTTCATTTTTGCTTCTGTGTGCCTAAAGTCAAAATGTTTGTTAAATTGATTAGCCAGCCTTAAAACACTGTACAGATGTTCTCTGACCTTTCCCACTCCCTCTCCTCTCAAAACAATCTGTTCATAAACTATCTGTCTTGCCTATTCTTGCAACTATCCTTTCCTCACTGTTCCCACTACCATCAGCCTAGGCTCTCATTACCATCCACCTGGACTCTTGCTCTCACCTCCTGACAGGCCTTGTAGTTTTTTTCTTTCTCCCCCTTCTAATCCATTCTTCATACCAGTACTAGAATAGCTGTCCCTTTGCACAGATGTGGTCATGTCATTTCTCTGCAGAAAAGTCCCTGCTGCACAAACAAAGCCAATGCAACTAAGATTAGAAGGAAGGTAGAAAACTGGGAAAGAATTTTTACAACCAGTCTCTCTGATAAGGGCCTCATTTGTAAAATATATAGAGAATTAAGTCAAATATATAAGAATACAAGTCATTCCCCAACTGATAAATGGTCAAAGGATGTGAACAGGTAGTTCTCAGATGAAGAAATTAAAGCCATCTATGGTCATATGAAAAAATGCTCTAAATCACTATTGATTAGAGAAATGCAAATCAAAACAACTCTGAGGTACCACATCACACCTATCAGATTGGCCAACATGCCAAAACAGGAAACAAGATGTGGGAAAATTGGAACACTAATACATTGTTGGTGGAGTTGTGAAATGGTCCAACCATTTTGGAGAGCATTTTGGAACTATGCCCAAAGGGCCATAAAAATGTGCATACCCTTTGAGCCAGCAATAGCACTTCTAGGGCTGTATCCCAAAGAGATCACACAAATGGGAAAAGGACCCACATATCCAAAAATATTCATAGCAGCTCTTTTTCTGGTGGCAAAGAATTGGAAATTGAGAGGATGCCCATCCATTGAGGAATGGCTGAGCAAGTTGTATATGAATGTAGTGGAATACTATTGTACTATAAGAAATGATGAACAGGCTGACTTCAGAAAAACCTGGAAAGACTTATATGGTCTGATGCTGAGTGAGGTGAGCAGAACCAGGAGAACGTTGTACACAATGACAGCCACATTGTGCAATGAATAATATTGATAAACTGAACCCTTCTCAGCATTACAAGGATCTAAGACATCTCCAGAGGCCTCATGATGGAAAATGCTGTCCACATCCAAAGGAAGAACTATGGAAGTTGAATTGCTATTTTTTTTTCTCTTCTGTTGAGTTTTGTTTCCTCTTTCTGATGGTTCCTCCTATTGGTTTTAATTTTTACTTACACCACCACTAATGTGAAAATATATTTAATAGGAATGTAAATGTATAGCCTATATCAGATGTGTGCCGTCTTGGGGAGGGTGGTGGGGAGAAAGGGGGAGAAAAATTTTAAACTCAAAAGCATATGGAAGTGATTATTGATAAATCAAAATAAATTAATAAAAAAAATTTAAAAAGAAAGGTCCCTGCTGGCTCTCTATTGTCTACCAGGTAGGCTTTGAACATCTGCCTGGGTTCAAGGCCCTCACAATCTGACACCACTCTAGCCTTAGCTCATTCTGATTCCCCTGGACACACTCTTATGTTTCAGCCCAGTTCTGCTCCTCAGAACCTGTTCCTTCTTCCTCAGGCTCCCACATCTGGATTTTCCAGGGTGGGATGACCAAGGCATAGCACCAAGAGCAACCTAATCCCGTGCCTCCTTTCTAAAAGCCAGCTTGCCTTTCCTTCTAACAACACATTTCCTAAGTCTTTCCTTCCATGGCCACACCATGGGAATCACCATAAGCTTGTGTTATTCAGACCTTCCCTTTCTCCTCTCATGTTAAGTGTTATTTGTGAGTGATGGCCTCCCTGTGCATGTTTTATCATGTTGTGCTTCAGCTCAAGGCTGTCAGCTTCTCCAAAGTTGGTTTCCCATTTTCTCATGTCCTGCTTGTGTCTTATCCCCCCATCCTCATGAAAGATTCAGCTCTTTGTGGCCTGTAGAACTCAGCTGTGAGCTATGTGGGCTATGTTTTTGTTTTGCGTTAATGGAAGTACCCTCTTAACAAACCCACCAGTACAGCCCTTTCATTTCCACTTATGGTGGAGGCCTTAAAACAAGAAATGCCTCTGTGACTTTTTAATTTGGGGGGGCGGGGGAAGGTAAGAAGCTGCTCTGATTATCTTAGTAGCTTCCACTATTAGCAATTTATCATTCTAATAAAAAGTATTATAGGTTTATGAGATGTTTGGTTTTATAAATGAGTGGCAGGGTGATAGTTTAATTTAGCACACATTTTAAAAATTCCTTTGTCTACTGAGTCTAGTACCAGGTGTTAGGGAGAGGTAAGGTTTTGGTAAGATATAATCTCTGCTGTCATGGAGCTGATGGATTAGTAAAGAATAAGACACCAACAGATAGAAAAGGCCACGTGAAGCCTGAGTGCTTTTGAGTTGAATTAGAGCTCCCAATATTATTTATATATATATATATATAATTTAATAATATTAAAATAGTTTAACTATTTGAACCTCCTGAAATTTCTCCCTATCTATGAAACTGGTGTTTTTCTGTTGAAGCGCCTTGATGGTAGACAGACCTACGACTACAGAAACATCAAAATTTCATTTGGAACAGACTATGGCTGCTGTATTGTGGAACTTGGGAAAACAAGGTAAGAAAAGGCTAACCATTGTGTTTAAGTATAATAAAAATCAACTTGAGAAGTACCTCATGGGCTCAGCACTTCTGTCATTTGAAGAGTCTCTGAAACCACCCTGGCCCTCACTTTTTCTCATCTGTAAAATGAGCGGAGTGGACCAAAGGTCCTCTGATGTTATGGAAGGGTGACAACAAGCAGAGATCCACGTTTAGCTGGGGCTGGTGGCTCTTCTGAGCTGTACTGGGCTATTCCAGCTGGGCATTTGCACCAAGTCTGGCATTAGTGGGATGAGCCCTGGGTCCCAGGAGGGACTCAGCTCAGGAAGCAGTGTGTAGGTCAGAGCTCCTGGGCCAGTCAGGGGTGGGATCATGTCCTGCATATCCAGCCTGGGCAAGAGAGGAAGATCCAATTTAAAAAAAAGTTTTTAAATCAATCAATCAGTCGAGATGAGTTGTAAGAAATGAATGTGTAGGTTTCACTGACAAATGTTTGTTTTCTGTTTTTGCAGAGTTCTTGGGCAAGTTTCCTGTGAACTTGTTTCTCCAAAGCTCAATCGGGCAACAGAAGGTATTCTTTTCTTTAACCTTGAACTCTCTCAGATGGCTGCCCCAGGTTTTGAGCCCGGCAGGTATTGGATTCTGTTTTTTAAGAAGGATTTACTCTGCTTTTGGCAGAGGAAAATGTATTACAGCAGTGAGTTTGTGTTTTAAGGGCGATCTCTCATCAGCCCATTCCTGTTTTCATAGGCAGTCAGATCTCTTGGTGAAGTTGAATCGACTTTTGGAAAGATGTCTAAGAAATTCGAAATGTATAGACACTGAATCTCTCTGTGTTGTTGCTGGCGAAAAGGTACAGAGTATGCCTTCAGTAGTTAACACTAGGAGAAATGTTGTAGATTTGTGGGGCTCGGTATCTGTCCTTCATTCACAAAGCTTAAGTTGATCTGACTTTTTCATGGGGCATTCTCCTATCTCTCCCAAAGGCTGCTGAAGGACATACTTAGGGCATTATCCTGTTTATTGTTAGGAAGGCATAAACATCCCTTAATTGTGAGTAGAACTTGTTCTTTATGAAATCACTTTGTTTCTATTTAAAAAAAAACAACTGTTGTGTTCCACAGAAATGGCATGTTAGAGTTATAGAATCCCCTTTCCAATGAGCTTTAGGGTGCTCATACACATTTATTTCATTCATTCTACTTAAGGTATGTCATAGAGGCAGATCTTTCCTTTTTTACAAGTGAAGACCCTAATGCACTCAGAGGTTGTTTGGTTAACCTTCCTGAGTCCATACAAAGCAAGGATTGGAACCCAGCTCTCTTGACCGTCAGTCCAGTGATTTTCTTCTGGAATCATGGCGCCAGCCTGGCAGATGGGTCGCTTTGGACTTAACCTTGGATGTAATAGACTGACTTGAACTACAGCAAGTCACTTTCTGTTTGTGCATTCCATACTCCCATGCCTCTTCTATTTGCCTGAATTACAGAAATGTCATCACAGTCTGTTTTAGAGATAGGCAAGAGGTCCTGAGAGGACAGTGGCCTGACAGAGGTGTCACCCTCACCAGTGCCACATCCTGTGTTCTTGCCACCCTACTGGGCTGCCTGGTGATGTGGTTCTTCCTTGACTTTACAGATGTGCTGTCTTTGACTTGCTGGAAGTGTTTAAAAAGGAATTATGTTTTACACGGAGTGTACAAAGAGTTACTTCTTACTCTTCCAATTCTCTTGCAGGTCTGGCAGATCCGTGTGGATCTCCACCTGTTAAATCACGATGGAAACATTGTTGATGCTGCCAGCATTGCAGCGATTGTGGCATTGTGTCACTTCAGGAGACCTGATGTGTCAGTCCAAGGTGATGAGATCACCCTGGTAAGTCTCTGTAGCGACAGCTAAGGGATCTTTGGTGGACCCCTTATTTCAGTGGTGCTGGAGCTTGGGGGTTAAATCCCCAACGCGCCCAGGACAGCACCAAGGGTAGAAAGAGGCTTTTCAGAAAATGTTGATGAAGAGAGGCGGCAGGGTGTTGTGGGGGGAAGGCCGGCCTTGGGTCAGTAAGCCTTCTGTTTAGGTCCCAGCTCTGACGTGTCGTAGCTTTGTGACTGTGGGAGGTCACTTAAACTCTCAGTGACTCCAACACATTCTGGCAGAGAGAGCTTTCCACAGTAGGAATTTCCTGCAACTGATGAGGTCACACGTCTAGACGAAAAACTGTGTTAATGGTGGTTGTGGTCCCAGACATTTGGATGGAATAAAATGCTCAAAGTTGCAGGAAGAGAAGAATGCAGGAGGAAGTGTGTCGGGTGGCAGTAGGGATAAAAAGGAAGTGTGATTTAGGAATCCACTAGAAAATGACAGAAGCTGCCATTCCAGCGTGAAATGCTCCATGCTCATTACCTCACTGGAGTCTCACAACATCTCAATGGTAGTCGGAACACAGCTCTTAACCCCATTTTCCAGATGAGGAAGCCAAAGCCCAGAGAGGCACAGGGACTTGCCCAGAGTCTCACTGTGGGTTATGATCGTGCCCAAATTCAGTTCAGTTCAACTCACCTTGATTAAGAAACTACTAGAGTAAATGCCGGGGGGGATGGCCCCCAGATGAGGCTTGGTACCTAATGGAAAATCAGGGCGCTATGAGAAAGGAGGAATGGGTCAGTACCAAGAAACACGTCAAGATATCTGTCTCTACACCAATAACAAAAGAAGAAACAGAAGGCATTTTACCAGATGCTATGGAGAAAAAGGCAAAAACTAAAATAGCTGTGCTATTGGAGAAGCATTCTGCTGGGGTCGGGGGAATACAACAGGCACAAAAGTAAGTAAAGACAAGGGGATCTGAGGAGGGCGGGAGGTTTAACCTCTAGGGACCCTGGGGGAGGTGTCCTAGAGGCAGGGACGCTCGAGCTGAGCCCTGAAGGACCCTGCAAGGTAGAGATGCTGAGAGCGTGGGGCAGGATTGTCTGGATGTGCAGTGGTGGGAGGTGGAATCCCAGGGGGGTTAGGAGCAAATTGCTTTGTAAGCCTTAGAGCACTGTACAAGGAAGGGTTGTTCTGCTAACTGATGACCAGGGGCCCAGGGCCGGTGGAACTTGTGCTCCGTGGGCCTTTATGTCCCTGAAATGTGGAGGGAAGAAGCCTCCCAAAAGGCGCTTCCCTCCTGGAGCAGCACACTCTTGGCTTCTGCTTCTCTGAGGCTGGTAATCTCTGGTGGATCCGAGTCTGGTGTCAAGCGCTCTCTGAAGCTTAGAATTCCTCGTGGTGCCAAGGCTCTGGTGACATCACCCTGGCATTTGGGTGCCTGGGGAGGAGGCTGAATGCATGCTTGGCACCAGCTCCAGAGCTTCATCCCAAGGCAGCCCACTTGGAGGATGCCCTGTGCCGGAGGCAAGCATTTGGCTTGGGTACCTGCGTCCCTGGCAGACAGGCCACATCCTCTCACGACTCCCTGGAGCTCGGGTGTCTGGTGACTGTATCAGTCACAGCTCCTGGGCTGGCCCTCTTGGGCCCCAGGGACACTGGGGAGAGAGCTTCAGGAGGGAGGATTCCAGGATCAGAGAGGCAGCAGTGGTGACGAAGGGGCATTTTATTTTTTTCCCCTTGAGCCTCTAGACCAGTTCATTCTTTCCGTGTCCGTCACCTTGATGTCTTAGAGTTATGGGCTGTTGTGTTTTTGTGCAGTACGCGCTGGAGGAACGAGACCCTGTACCTTTGAGCATCCACCACATGCCCATCTGTGTCAGTTTTGCCTTCTTCCAGCAAGGGTGAGTCACGGGGGCTTGTCATCAGGAGCAAAAACAGATGGTCTAAGGGCAGCACCACAGTGTATGTCGATAACACCCCCCACCCTCCACCCCCAATCCACAGCCACTCTTGTCTGGCAGCACCAGGGCCTGGCAGGGTCAGCAGCAAGTCTGGGACTTGGCCTTAGAGAGTTGTCCAGGGCACTGAGAGGAGACTCAGCCAGTATGTGTCAGAAGGAGGGCTGGAACTCAGGGAGTTAAGGACCTGGAAAAGGATGGGCTGCGATCAGGTAATTAGGTGTTCAGTATTTTTTCTGTCAGCTCTGAACAAGGACTGGAGAAAAGCACTGAGAAGCCCTCAATGAACTCATCACATTGAACTGATAGTTGAGAATTTCATTGTAATGGAATATAATCGAGAGTTTTGAAATACTTTTAGGGTCATGAGTTTTGCCATATCATGGCATTTATTGTACTTTGATATTAGAAATGAAATCCTAGATGGAAGGGATTAGGGGAAAAATAGACTTGGAATTAATATAAATCATCAAATCATGTCCACATGATCTAATTTTTTGTTAGAACACTTAAGTCATCTAATCAGCCAAAGACAAATTATGCATTATCTGCAGAAGCCGATATTAACAGAGAGGTTTTGTAATAATTGCCCTGTGGGGTTTTCAAAGAGAAATGCATTTAGCATTCACTCTGAGTTCATAAATATAATCATTCTCTTTGGCTCTCACTGCTTCCCCAGGTTGCTTTCTAATAGCACAAGATGGTGTCATTTTAGTTTTTCAGAACCCCTATCTTAACCCTTGAGTCACTGCGTGTCTCTGATTTGTTCGGGATTATTAATGTTAATTAAAATGTTCAATCTTTATTTCAGAACTTACTTATTGGTGGATCCCAATGAGCGAGAGGAGCGTGTCATGGATGGCCTGCTCGTGATCGCCATGAACAAGCACCGTGAGATCTGTACCGTCCAGTCCAGCGGCGGGATCATGCTGCTCCAAGATCAGGTGAGTTCTCAGGTAGGACGGCGGGAGGCGTTGGGTGGGTCGAGGCCCCAGGCTCATCTGACTCGCTAACATCTCAATGCAGGTTACCAGTCTTGAGTAGGTTTGTGTGTAAATGAGGCTAGTACTCACCCACATGATCCAGGCACTGATGGATGCGGGCCTTTCCTAACGCTCACTTAATAATATTTCAGAACAGTGCATTGTGGGTGCCTCTTCCCGATGCAGATCACCTCTTCCTACCTGAGTGTGTAGCAAAAGCAGTTGTCACCTGGTGCCAGCATTTGAGCCATGAGCGCCCCTGCCTCGAGCGTCATCATCAAAGTGACACACACCCTCTCCCCCTTTACTTTCTCACCATAGAACTGAGTGCGCAGTGTTAGGAAATGAACCTTCTGGTTCCCAAGCTGGTGTGGATGCTAAGCTCAAGTCTGGATATAGCTGTGTGGAGGATCCAGATAACTGAAAGGATGGTGTTCAAGCATTTTTCAAACAAATAGTTCAGACAGCATGCTGTAATGGATCGAGAGCCGACTGCAAAGCCAGAAGACCTGGGTTCAGATCCCACTTCTGATACATACTGGTTATGTGACGTTGGGCGAGACGCTTAACCTCTCAGTGATAGTCTCTGCGAGTCTCTAAGACCGTACGTTTCAGAGAAGATGCTGAACTTTCTTGGTAGAGAGTTCTCACTCAGGAATTCCCTAGCCCAATGAAATCACAAATATAGGCCTTCCTCTTCCCCGTGTCCCTGTCATTTAAGGATGATAGGAAAAAATATCTGAGGGTTTTCTTTAACTAGCTCAACTCTATAAGCCTTTATTTGAACTGATGCTCAGAACAGTGTTTCGTGGACTTTAAAGTATCCTTTCTCCAGGGATCTGAAAGATGAAGAATTAGCAAAGGTGTGGAGGGAATCTCAGGCACTCTTTGTGTCGGAAAAAGTGACCAAAGGACATCGATGCCTTCCCAGCCACAGGCCATTGCTCTATCCATTTTCTCAAAAGTTTTCATTGGCACATGCACTGAGGGCATTCTTGATGAAGATATAGAAAAGGAATAAGGAGGCTTTCTCAGATGAGATTCTACAGCAGACCACAGTCATGCACTCGACTGAGCGGGGCGGAGAATTCAAGGCCCCACGTGCTTATTGCTTGTTGACTATGAGAAATGATGATTTGGGGGAGCCCTGAGTCAGAGTTCTCCAGCTTCCATAAGTGACGTTAACAGAATAACTGTGTTCACACCCCTGATTATTAAAGTTTAAGTAAGACATAAGACAGGAAGATGTACGCTGCTGTCATGTACATGTGTAGCCTGGAGTCCTCTTGGAGTGAGGCCCTTCAGATTCTACTCGTTAATGACTTGTGCAGATTGCATCAAGCCCAGGTGGAGCCTCCTGCAAGCATTCAAGAGCTCAGCCCATCTAGCCAGCAGAGAAAGGCCGCTTATCTAGACAAGATGATACGCGTTTGGATGGACCGCCCATGGAGCTCATCCATCAATGTATATATCATGGACCTAAGGTGAACGGATGGTGAGCAGAGCTCAGAATTGGATGGAAAGAGGAAAGCCAGCTGGATTGCCCTCCTCCTTTGAGGTATAGCTGTGAGTCAGGGCATGCTGATGTCTCCAAAGATTTGAAGGTGAGGATGACCCCAGGGAGGACTGAGCAGGCAGCAACAGATTATGTTTATCCAGGATTTACCCAGAAGTGGTGGAAGGAGAAACATGACCAGGAAAAAAATTGGCTGTCATGGAGTGAAAGTGAAGGAGCCCTGAGGCCTGCATGACCCACTGGCATCTGCTGTGCCAGGAGAGCAGCTGTGGCTGCTGGGTGATGTGCTCTGGCTGCAAGGAGTGCCCTCGTTAACAAGATCATCTATCCGTTGATGCTCCTAGAGGAGTTCAATCCCCTGGAAACACGGAACTTGAAAGAGTAACATTGAAGTCACCAGAGTTAGTGTGTAACGTCCTCATTCTGCAGCTGAGGAGTCTGGGGCCCAGAGAGAAGTGACCTGCTGAAGGTCCAGTCATAGAGCCAGGATTGAACTATGTGTGCGTTTAATTGGTGCCCGCTGAACGACTGAGATCAGCATCTCACCACCGTCCTGGAATGAATGCCTTGGCCTTGGCAGAATTGACCTGTTGAAGAAATGTAAGAGGTCATCATTGTATCACTCAAAGAGAAGGTCTCCTTCTCTGGAGAAAAAAACCAAAAAACAGTAGGGCCAGTGACCCCAGCGCCTTAAAACTCATTAACACAAAATGCAAAGGACCAGAAAAAAATGGAACTTTAAATTACCGTTTCTCAGACAATTGAGGTTTTTTGTTGAAAAATTCTGGGTCATAGTGTCAGTTTTAGAGCTGGTGGCGTCAAACTCAAATAGAAATAAGGCCACTGAGCTATATGTTGGGATCCCTGCCAGCCACATTTTCACATATGAAGCCTCATGTTAACATTAGCCGTGTTTTATTGAATTTTTGTTCGTTTTGTTAAGTATCTCCCAATTACATTCTAATCTGGCTCAAGCCACACCAAGCAGTGTGGTGGGCTCCATGTGGGCTGCTGTGTTTGTCACCTCTGATCTAGCCCAGCTGCTCATTTTACAGATGAATAAGCTGAGATCTAGAGAGGACAACCAGTTTGTCAGGGCCACAGAGGTAGACCCAGGCGCTCTGACTCCAAACTCCATGTTCCTTCATCTGAAGAACATCAGCCTTGGAGTTATACAGCTGTCCTTTCCCATGGCCACTTTCCCCGTTGTGGTGGTGGCATAAGAAATGAAGTGAAAACTTCGGGGGAGTTTTGTGGAAGTCTGAAGGGACGGGTGAAGGGCAGCAGATGACACAGAAAAAGTTTAGAAACTCAGAAATGCCATAAAAACCCCATAAAAGAGAAAGAAAAAATTCATACTTCTCTGGTATGGAGGGCCAAAAACGTCATGCAGATTTTCCAGATCATGAGGATGCTCAGCCCCTAACCCCCACAATGTGAAAGGGATGACTGTATGTTGTTTGGGGGAAAAAAAAGTTGTACTGTTTTAATCTGTCAACAAATACTTATTTCTTGAGTGCTCACCATGAGCTAGGCACTGTGCCATGTGTTGGGGATGTGGAAGTGAGATGAGAGTCCCTCTCCACAAGGTGCCCACATGCTAACAACTCTGTACACACATGACATAGGCAGGGAAGATGGAAGACATGAGAATCAATGACATGTTTGTTTTAGATACAAGACTTCTAAATTGTTTTGGAATTTGGAAATTCTCCACATTCCTTTTTCTTTTTTTTTTTTTTAGCGTGGAACTTTTAAACAGCCCTGCTCCTAGGTTGTTGTGACCCATAGGAGTAAAGAAGCAAACCCAAATTAAACACACCTGTGGAACTCTCAAAAGGCCTTTCAGATATCCTTCATGGGATGTTGGGATTGAAAATTTCCAGCATGAAATAATTATTTCATAATGCTATTACTCATTCTTCATATGCCATCCAATCTTACAGTATTTATTTTGTTGCTGTTGACTTAAATCATATTGTTTCAGCCAGTGACACGTGGATAGGAGGCTAGTTTGGAATTGATCTCCATTTCAGATTTTTAAATAACAAAATACTACATTTAATTGGTAGGGAGCACTCAGATGATTGAATTTCCTCTTTTAAAAAAAAAGCACCTCATCAGGCAGAGTTGCTTAAATTTGTTGGCAGTATCTTTAGAGGCAGACTAGCTAGTCTTAGAACCGGATGTGCCTGTTTTTATCGTGAGAGGATACGACATCTGACATTCTGCATTCTTTGAGTAACGTTGGCTTTCACAAACAGGTTCTGAGATGCAGCAAAATCGCTGGTGTGAAGGTGGCGGAGATCACAGAACTCATACAGAAAGCCTTGGAGAATGACAGGAGAGTGAGGTAAGCTGGATGGAGAGGAAATGTCATCAGCTTCTGGGTATTCTTAGCCCATCTGGCTTTTCTGGTTAGAAACCTCCCCCACATAGAAGAGCAGCCACGTAATTACACTTTCTCTCACGAATGTTCCTTGTCCACTAATTGCAGTTATATTCCACGTGCGTTTGTGAAAGCCACTGGTGTGCTCCCTTGTCTTGTATTTTCTGATCTGAACCATCTCTCATTAAAAAGAAATTTGCCAGGCAAGACAAGTCCTTCCTCTAAGTTACTGTGATTTCTTAAGGAAGCAAAAGTAAGGTAATTTGTAAATGATCTCCAGTTGAATAGTACCTCATTTTCACATGTGGGGTAGGGTCATGATGGCCAACAGAATGCACACCAACCTGATTTTGAGGCTCCTTGCCTATCAGTGGATACATAATCAGAATGATTTTGCCCTTTTGTTTTCTGACACCAAAATATATATATATATATGTGTATATATATATATATACACACATATAGGAAAGAAGGTGGAAAGTTCGGCTTTGCAGAATCAATAGCAAACCAAAGGATCACAGCTTTCAAAATGGAAAAGGCCCCTGTGGATACGTCAGATGTGGAAGAGAAAGCAGAAGAAATCATAGCGGAAGCGGACCCTCCTTCAGAAGCGTATCTTTTCTAGCGGTTGTATTGGTAGTAAGTGATCATAGAAAACTAGCTCAGGCCGTTACACACTAAATTCTGTGTCCCCTCCCCCCAAACCTGTAATCAGTCAACGTTAGTTATCATGATTTGTATTTCTTCTTAAGGTAGTCTTCATTGTTGGAAAATGTAGTAACTTTGAACAGTTAGGAACTATCTACAAAGAGCAGAATAACAGCTTGTAAAATGAAAAGTTAAAAACATTCTACTCCTGGTTTTGCCTCCAGAAATCCAGGAGGAGCCTTTAAGAACCAGGTCACTGCACTTCATGGCTGGCAGATGCTTCAATCCTGGTCTTTCCAAAAGGAGCCATGTTTATCATCTCCTCAGGAGAGCCCTTAGTGTCGGGGGAGAAAGGCTGCCACTGCTGGCTCCAATGCTGCTTAGCACCGCACCAGTGTTACTTTGATATCATATAAATGAATAGGTCACATTTCTATTGGGTGCATAGCCCTGTATTTCAGCCGTCCTCCAGTCATCCTCATTAGTCACATTGATGGAGGGCATACGTAGATGACCTTGCATGCAGGCTGCTAGATTACCTGTGCCACATGCTTTAAGGGGGCTCACCCCTCCCATCTCGCCTGCTCTTTGGATCAGGGGTCAGATAGGATTTTGGTTGGTTTCTTAGTTTCCTTAACAAGTTGAGTGTTTCTAAACCTGTGTTATGGACTCCTGGGACCGCCCAGATAGGAGAAGGGATAGAGAGTTCCTGGGGTGATTTGGAAGAGGAAGACGAAGAAGATGAAGGTGGCAGTGATGAAGTCACCATTCTTGACAGTGTCAAGATGGAAACTGAAGACCAAAATGTTGGAAACCACATTGGTGATGGTAAGTTCTGCTGCGATTAAGAATGACAGCTGAACCATTGGTTGTCATCAGCTCTGTGCTTGGCTTCACCTCCTCTGGGCTCACCACCTTCCTACGAGTTTGCTTTCCACAGTCATTTCTAAAGAGGAAAGCCAGGTGCACCCTGGCACACAGCAGTCTTCACTAGTCGTGATCACGGATCTTGGCAGGGAGACAAGGGAGGATGGCAGAAAACTTATTTTTGATACTCAGGTGTCAGTTATGGTTCCCTGCACCCATCACCTAGTGTAATTCATTAATATTCCCAAAACACTGCCAGGTTGGGATGGTTTAAAAAGGGAAACCAAGTAGAAATATCATTTGTAAAATAGCCTGGACTATTATCTCAGGTTCTGAACTTTGGGAGGGTGGAGGAGTGACTAGCTCACTTCATTGCAACTTGGTTTAAAATAGGTAGCCCCACCAGATTAGGAACCCCATGCTCTTAACTGAGCGGGGAATTCCCACCACCAGTGCAGTTCTGCTCACAAACGTGTGTCCTAGCAGCTAGCTAATGTCTGAAGCAGGATTTGAACCTAAGTCTTTGTGATTCTGAACTCAGCACCCACTACTTCTCAGTGAATGCATACCAGTGATCAGACCACCCCACCACATGTCGTTTCCCAGACTCTTTTGTCCTTGGAGAGACATTCCGGTTTGTATGAGGGCAGGTGTGGCCTCATTTGTCTCCCTGAGCACACAGTAGAGCTTCCCTCTCACCCACACCCCGCATCACCTGGAGAAACGGGCCCCAAGCCCTACACTCTGGCCAGCTGCACCTAGAGACCATGCTTTCCCCCAAAGGCAGTTATTTCCTTCTGGAAATGAAATTCAATTCATTTAATGAAATCTATATATTACAGCTTTTGAATAATCCATACAGAAAACATTTATTGCAGACCTGCTATGTACATAGAGCCCCTTATCAGCAATAAAATACAACATGGTAGAGCCGGCCTTCAGCAACTGTCCTCTAACGATAGCCATCTACTGACATTGACTCATCAGCTGCACCCTGTGGGGGCTGGCAGTATTCTGAATTATACTTTTATTGAAACTATAGCATCATCTTGTTGTCTGTACACTTTTGCCTAACTTAATAGGGTTTTTTTATTTCTTAAAGATACTCCTATAGTTCTGTCAGATAGCGAAGAAGATGAAATCATTATTTTAGAACCAGGAGAAAACCCAAAGAAAACAAGGTAACTGAAGGATTTGATTTATTTCAATAGTTATTAATGTTAATGCAAATGCTAATTCAACTCTTGATACTATATCCTATATCAATATCTCTTCTCCAGATGTAGAATTTGTAAATGCATATGTAAAAGTATAAATCTCACTTTAATCTCAGCAGATGGCCATCAAAGATTTCTTTTTATACTGATTTTAGTGAATTGTCCAGGAAAGGCTGTCTGAGCTTTCTTAAAAATGTGTGTTATATAACAAAAGGTCAGAGAAAAGAAGAGAGCTTGAACTCTTCACAGAAGCCCATTTTAAGTTTGGTTAAGATGGAACCATTTGGACCAGCTTCCACTGGACAAAGCAATTTGGACAGTTCATTTTACCTGATAAGTTCTGGGGACAGGGAATATAGCCATGCCTGACGTGAAGTCACATGTTGGCCTGTGGCCTCAACAAAAGATTTTTCCATCATTAGTTAAAGGGGGATATGGCCCAGCAATTTATTTTCCTTGGTTGAGTGTGAAGCGTAGGTGGGGTCTGACAATGCTAGCAGTCATCCCAGGGGATGCCATTCTCAGACAGGCCTGGAAGAAGCGCCAGTCTGTCCTCCAGGCTGACCACCCCGCAGAGCACAGGCCGAGCCCTCTTCTCTGCTCACTAAGTATTATTTCCTACTAAAGGAAACATCCAGAAAGACGTGTCCATAATTGGATACATGTTTTAGGCTTTGATTTCATTTGTTTACAGAACACAGGCCAACTGCCAACAGGGAAAAGTCCCAAGTAAAAAAGCCATTAGAAAGAAAAAGCAGCAGCCGGCTGACTAAAACTTCCAAAACACTACTGGAGAGTGCGTTCAGGACTGTTGCGGATTTTTACATGTATGTTTTCTTGATTTAAAATAAAGTATCTAGAAAATGTCTCGTGTCATTGGATTAATTTGAGGGGAAGGCCCAGAGAGGCAGGCAGCACGGTCTGACAGACAGACCTTCATGGAGCGGCTGGGCCACTGAGTCGTCACTTAATCTCTTAGAATATTTCTTTTACCTGAAAAATGGGGCCTATTTCTATCCCACATCAGACCCTAATTTGTAGTCAGGCCCCAGGTCCTGCTAGTTGCTAGCTATACATACAATCCATTATTAATGTGAAGGATGACTTGGATTTTCCTCCCTCTGCTTGGGTTCTGTCACCGTCACTAAGCCTGTAAAGAAGGCTTTGGATCTGTAGAGACCAGCCGGAGAAACGCCCCTCTGCCCATCAGCAGCTCCCTCTGGGTCGTTGGGGTCCACGAGTGGCATGCATCATCAAGAAGAAGGGCGACATACACACGGTTTCTGTTTAAAATCTCGATCTATTTCACACCACGAGAGGTGTTTTGGCAGCACAGGCAGCAGGCGAGATACTGCCCCAGCACTGATGGATGGCACACCGGGCCCACCTGCAGGGACTTGCTCCAGAAACACCCGCCCTGGAGGGCATCCGAGCGCAAGTGCCGATGCTCTCCCGAGCCACGCCAACCTTAGAAAACACGGTAGCCAAGATGGACAAGGCCGCCAGCATTCTAAACTTTATCCTGGGAAGTCCTTCTACTGGGCTGGGCTGTACCTTGCGGTTCATGTTCAGACACTCCCGTGAGCGAGCCAGGGTCTGACTGCAGTTTTCACTTGTTCGAGGCAAACCATCGAGGTCTCCAAGCTCTTCTCCTAAGGTACGGGCTTGGTTAACGCTCACTGCGTACGAACGACACCATTTAAATCTGCAGCTAAATATGCAGGACAATTGCACGTAGGAAAGATTTACATTTAAAATCATAACAATCAAAAAAGGTACTTCATCATTTGTAATCGGCCATGGCTTGTGCTCGGTGAAGTGATTCTCTGTGAAGAAGCCCCGGCCCACGAGAAAAGCTGTCCGGCACGATGTCTGCTGGAGTGCCAGCTCCGCCCCTCTCGCTCACTACAAGTTCAGTGTCTCTGGAGGGTTGATGAGGGATACGCCATGGTACCTGTGAAGGAGAGAGAGAACGAAAGGGAAATTCAGCCTCCTTGGAGGAGCCCCTTCTGCATATCCCCGACTGGGGCTCAGGTGACTGGTGAGCTCACCACGGCACAAAAGCTCACCCTGCGTTTCTTTACCCTTCTTCGTCTGAGGTCTGTGAATTTAGAGGTTTAGTGGGAGCAGCTTCTCAAGACAGGTGTAGGGGTGAGGAGAGCTTAGAAATTGTATGATTTAACAACCATCTGGGTATGTATGCAACACCCCACAGACAGGGTATCTTTCCTCCACAGAAGAGGGGGAATACCATCTGATTCCCCTGCTATGGGAGGGCCAGGGAAGGTTTAGCCCTTTCTCTATCCCCAGCACTGAGCACAGTGCCTGCAGGGTACACAGTAAGCACTTAATAGATGCTTGCTGGCTTTTAAATGTCGTATTCTGACCTCAGGAACAGATTGTTTATAAATCAAAGACATGCAGCCACATTTTGACAGGAAGGTGCTTGCTTCACGGGGATTACGTGAAAAGATTTCCACTCAAGCAGATGCTTTCTTACTTTGCCGTCTTGTATTTTTCCCGGATAGACTGCTGTGCATGCTGTGGTGCTCTGAGGTAGGTCTGGTGGAGGTCCATTAGACACGGCTTAAGACTTTCCAAGGTGTATCCTGTCTGTTGGATTAATGACTCAGGCTACAGGAAAAGAGATAAGAGCAGAGAATTTAGATGAGTGCAGATCCCTTTTCCCCTGGACCGGGAAGGACCACCCCACTGGCAATGATACTCTGGCTCCTCCAGAAATGAGTCAAGCACCACCTTTTCATCATTCCCCATTTTTTAGATCGAGTTAAAGCTTGAAGCAGAGTAGAGGCACTGGCCTACGGAACCTTTGGCTGAATGCATCTTAATGTTCACTTCCTTCAGTAGCTAATTAACTTGCTTGTTTTTCTGTAAAGGGGAGGAATGTTTGTCCTACCCAGGTCCCAGGATTGTTTCCCAAACGTGACTTGTAAGCCAACTACTGCTCTATAAATGGCTTTTCCTTTTCATGAAAGGAAACGAGGAAACCACCGCAATTTCACATTTTGTAAAGACAACTCTTCAGCACTGTTTATTTGCAGGGCCATAAATACGTACCCAGCTTTTCCCGGTGATCGTGTAGAGGGCTATGTGAAAGGCAGCTCCCGCAGTCACTGATGGTAAGTATTTCAGATATGGGTCGGCATCAATTAAACTCAACTCTCCCAGAAACTAGAAATGTTAAAAGTTTCCATATTTAGTGACTGGCTCCATTTCTCCCTAAGACATTAACAAACGTTTTATGTGTTAACATGAATAACAGAATGCTAACCTGAGCTACCAATTGCAGTCCTTTCTCCACAACAAATCCTTATTACTAACTGGCTTTTCTGTTGGCTCTGGGCCTCTGTAGCCTCATGCTTAAATGGAGGGATTGTAACTGGCCAAGGACAGGGAGGCTGGTGAAGGATTCAGAGTTAGGCCCTAGGAGGATCAGCTGGAGAAGTTAACTTGGAAAAGAAAAGGTCTGGGCCAAGGGCTCCTCACTGTCCATGAAGCTGCCTAATATTTTGGTCATTGCATTTCACCATCATTGGTTTCTTGGGTGGTATTTTATGCATTAAGCATTCTGAGAGGGGATCCAGGACCCAAAAAACTCCTGATGTAGGGGGATGGGATGTTTGCTTTCAACTGTCTGAAGGGCTGCTTTGTAGAAAAGAGGTTAAAATCATTTGGCCCCAGCAGGCAGAGCCAGGCACAGTGCGTGAAGATTATGGTGAGGGAGCCTGATTCCACATAAGGGATGCCTTTGCAGTAATAAGTCATCCCATGATGACTTGGGTCACTTACCATCGCCAAACTTTCCACTTTAGAATTGGCCTGCTGCTGATGCAGGAAATACTGAGTGAGAAACTGGTTGATTGTTGGGGCGGCGAGGTCGAAAGCCAGCACTTTGAGCACCAGGTGCTCCATTCTTAGGACCTGCTTCTTGGTATACGTGTCATCCGTGATGTACACAAACTCGGCCACTTCTGGGGGGTAGATCTCTTCAAACTTTCTACAATGAAAGAAAGCATCCAAAATTTGTCTTCCTCCACAAAGTGCCTTCATTGTCAAAGCTACCAGCAGAAACCTGACCGACGGCCTGCCGTGAATCGATCATTCTATCATACGCCGCCTGGCGTGGCGGAGGGCCTCCTAGTCCTGACACCTGGCAGCACAGCGCCTCCAGGCAGCACACCCAGTGCGCCAGAGCCCAGACCACAGCTCCTCTTCTAAATTCTCCCACTTCCACCAAGGGTGCCACTGCTTCCAGTCACCCAGCTCTTGACTTGTCTTTTGCTCACAGCCCCCACTCCCATTTCAGGCTCTCATGTCTCACCTGGACTACTGCAGTAACTTCCCACCTGGTCTCCGCAGTTGCCAAACTGGTGTTTCTAAACAATGGTTAGTGTCTCTGGGATCACATACAGATGCCTCGGTTACAATTCTAGCAACAGCCAAATGCCTTCTTGCTCTTCCTTTCCACAGGCTGTCCCCTAGGTCTGGATTACATTCACTCCTAACCTCCAACACTTAACCCCAGTGGCTTCCTTCGTGTCCCCTCGGCCGTGAGGCCTCCCTTGATTGCTACAGCTGCTGAGACCCTCTCCCACCCCTGCTCCTCCTTGCCATACGTTTGTGTGGCACATTAGCTCCCCTCAGGAGGTGGGCTCCTTGGGGGCGGACACTGGTCTGAGCTTCCAGCTCCTGGCTAGCACAGACACTGGCACATCATGGGGACTTGAGGCCAGATGCAGCTGAGCGCACAGCCTGGTTTGGAAACGCAGCCCTGTCGCCACTGGATTCTAGGCAGTCCCCTCCCTGCTCTAGGCCTCCGATGCTTCACGCGGAGAACAGGGTTGGACTTGATCTTCTCCCCCAGCTTTGGCTCCACCTCGGCCCTCCGCCGTGTGGGAAGACCCAAATGGCACAGCTGTCATTTGTTCTGTGCCGCTGAATCGAGGAAGGTCATTTATGTGGCTGGAGTCCTGCCGCGGCTGCAGGAATCAGGACGCTAAAACCAAAGCACTGAAGCAGGAAGAGTTACTGAGGACCATTACATTTGAGAGGGACACAAAGCTGGTGACAAGTAAAAGGCAAGGAACTGTAGGAAGCCACACAAATATGGGGCCCTAAGACCAGGAATGGGGTGAAGTGAGAAGGGCAGGACTGCAGCTGGCCAGTGGTGGGAAGGAGGGGCCAGACCCAGCGAGTGGTGGTGCCAGCACCCCAATAGCAAGCGCCAGACAGGACGAGGAGCTAGTGCTGAAGATGGCAGCCCTGTGTGGAAGGAGCCTACTGTGAACCCACGTGGGGCTCCAGCTTCTGAGCTGCTGCTGCACTCTACTGCCTGAATGAGCCACCTCCAAAATAGGAAAACAGCCCTGCTCCTAAACGCTGGCTACGCTCCCAAAAGCCAAGAACAGTCATCTGTGTAGGCATACACTGAAAACTCCGGCTCCGTGATGAGTTCAGGTCTTCATAAACCAGATGTGGAAGAAAGTTCAGACCGACACATTAATTTTTCGGAAAAATGCAATGTTCTTGCTTGCCCCATTTCTGCTGTGTGTGGGTATGATGCCATCACCCCTCCACCTCCATTGTCAGGCACCTGAAAGCAGGCCTGGCTCACCCAGTGATCGGTACGTCACTCGATCCTGCCTCCCGCCCCCAGGGCACTGACTTACGAAGCCAGGAGCATGGCAGCAGTCCCCACCAGCTGAAGCTTCCCCCGCAGCACCGACATGGAGGACAGGAACCGATCGATGTAGTTCACGGCCAAGTGGAGGGTCTCATTCTGGAGCTTGTACTCCTCCCCCACCTCCACCAGCCAGTCCACCAAGATGGCACGCATGCTGTTGGTTATGTCTGGCTGCTTCTTCATGTAGCCCACCTTGGGCTTACACTTGACCTGGTAAGAGAAGTGAACGGCCGAGGGTGAGGGCGGCCGGACCCCATCCGCTGTCCGCGTTGGCCAGCCATCCCTTCACAGACTCTGATTTACCTCCATTTCCCTAAGGTACAGATAGATGTCTTCATGGTAGTCAGGGACCTCGTTGACATTCGGTGGCTTGTCTTCCGGTTCCAGCACTACTGACATGTCCATAGTAAGGGGAGATTCTGAGAACATTTCAGAAGACACAGGGCCAAGGTTAATCATCTCATTGCCTCAAGCGTTTAAACTGCCGAAATTCAGAAGGTGGCTGACCCCAGTCCAGCTGTGACCCTGGTAAATGGGATTCACATAAATGACATCCATCCCCTTTCTAGACATCTCTGGTAGCAATACCAACAACCTGAATTTCTGTAGCACCTTAGCTTGACCAAGTGCCTTCTCCAGCCATTCAGTGAGGAACACGCATATTCCCATTCTTCCAACAAGGAAACCGAGGTTCAGAAGTGAAGGCATGCCCCCAAGGTCACACGGCTAGCATCAAATCTTGCAGACACCTCCCTTGCATTTTGGGGGAAGACCTAGGCTAGCTTATGTGGCCGAGGACCCCAGTGGATACTGACACTGTCTTCCTCAGTGAGTAATTCTATCCCGCCACCCACACTGAGTTAACATACAAATGCAGGCATTTGTGTGACTTTGTGCTAATGAGCACTTCACAAACATTATCCCATCTGATTCTCACAACAACCCTGGGAGGTTAGTGCTATGATGATCCCCAGTTTACCGTTGAAGAAACTGAGGCTGAGAAGTGACGTGACTTGCCCAGGGTCCCAGAGCTAGTCTTTGTGACTCCAGGCCCAGCTGCCTCTAACAGCCATACCCTCCAGGTACTGGCACAGGGAGCCCAGACTTGACTTTGGTGGGGGCTGCAGGCAGGGGTCTCCTGGCCCTGGCCTGGGCTTCCACACGGCCTCCGCTAGGACACCAGGGGCAAGTGTCTCAGCACACCCAGACCCGGCTGAGAGAGCAGGTCAGCAAGGCCGGCAGGGCTTCCCGGGATATGAGAAGTGGACCTGGGAGGCTCTGCTCCTGCCTCCTGGGGGGCTGGCTGGACCGGGCTCCACATTCAGGGCCCCAAGCGAGGACCAGCTGCAGAGGCTCACCAAAACTCCCGTCCATCGGATAATCGAGGGGCACCAGGGGCTTCCTGGGCTCGGGCAGCGACACGGCCGAGTGGAAGCCCAGCGCCTCATCCTCGGGGTCCGCCTTCTTAGGGGCCGGAGGCTTCTTCCCGGGGTCGGCCTCCGGCTCATCCACGTGAATCGTGAAAGTGGGCTGCTTGCTGGTAGCGTTCCAGGGCGGGACGATGCCCTGCTCATCATGCACCGGGACCTCCCTGAGCGGTGCGACCACCTGCAGACACACCCGGGGTCACCTCCCTGGCTGGCTGCCCCCCGCCCCTGGCACCGTCAGGGAGGGGTCAGCGGCTGCCACCCCACCCCCACCCCCCCCCCCGCGACCGGCAGGGAAGGGGCAGTTCCTGGGTGTGCGCCGCCCTCCCCCCCCCCCCCCGCCCCTGGCACCGGCAGGGAGGGGTCAGCTCCCAGCCCCCCCCCACGATGCCCGCGGGGCACTGCGGGTCGGAGGGCAGGCAGCCTCGGCCCCTTTGTGCCCAGGCCGGCCCCGGCGCTTGACAGCTGCCACTTCCTGGGGGGAGGAGGAGAGGCGGCGAGCCGCTCCCGAGGTCCCGCGCAAAGGCAAGGCGGCGGCCCTCCCTCCGGGCCGGGCCGGAGCTGCGCTGCCGGGACCCCCATCCCCCCCCCCGCCCGCCCCGGCCCGCGGTGGAACGCGGGGCCTCGGGGCGCGCGCCGGCCGGGCAGCGTTCCAGCCCGCCCTCCCGCGCCCGCCTCTCACCCTGCGGCTCTTGGACTTCTGCGGCGCCAGCGCGGCCGCCGGGCCGGGGCCGGGGCCCGGGGCCCGCACGTTGGCCCGCAGCACGCCCAGCACGGCGCGCGTCCTGGCGGGCTCGGCGCCGCCCCGCTTGTCCGGGTGGATGTTCTCCTGGTTCTCGTCGGGGCCGGCGGCCCGGGGCAGCCGGGGGGGCTGCGGCCCCGCCGCGCCGGCCGCCGTGTGCCCCAGCATGGCGGGGGGCCAGCCTGCCGGGGCTCTGCTCGGCTCGGCTCCCCGCGCTCCGGGCCGGGCCGGGCCGGTTCGGTTGGGTTCGCTCCGCACGCACGCAGGAGGGCACGCGGGCCGGCAGGCTAGGACAAGGGCGGCAGCAGCAGCCGCTCCCGCCGCTGCCCAGGCCGCGGCCCCGGGCTCCTCGCCGCAGTTCAAGCGTCCCGCGACTATTGAAATGGGCCAATGGAAGCCGCGGGCGTCGGCGCGTCACCGCGCGCACGCGGGCGAGGGAGGGAGAGGAGGGGAGGGAAGGGGAGGAGGGGGGAAGGGGGAAGAGGGGAAGGAGGAGCCCCGCCCCGCCCCGCCCGCGGGGTGGGGTCCTGCGTGAAGGCCGCGCCCCCCACTCCCTGGGCGGGGGCTCGCGGGGCAGCCCTAGGCGCCCACGTGGGGACGCGCAGCCGGGGACCCGCGGAACAAAGCGGCCCCCCGGGCCGGGAGGGACGGAGGTGGGAGGCGGCAGGCTCGAGGGTCCCGGGGACCGGGCTGGGGAGCTCTCCCCGCGGACCGAGGGACGTGTCCGGTGTCGCATGAAGTCGCGTCTGCAGGCACACAGCAGGGGCGCCGCGCGCGGGCAGCAGTATGGACGTGATGATTACACGGGGGTGGGGGGGGTGGAGAAGCCCACCCAGACGGGGGACAGGAGGAGGTCGGGCGGGGGGCTCCGCGATGGCGGGGATCGCAGACGGCACCCCTTTTCAAAGGAAGAAACCCTGACTGGACAAACACGTGGCAAGAGTGCCCCGATCACGAACCATCTCCCCAGTCCCCGGCCTGGCCTAGGCTGCCCGCCAGAGCCCAGCACTAACCCTGCTCCGCTCCCACAGCAGCCAGGCCGGGGCGGAGAGCGAGCATCACCGTGCAGATTGGGCACAGCCCGCCCCCCTGCTCCCCAGCTCCGCCCGTGACAGCCGGGACGTGTGGGGACAGCTACACCCTGGCCACGTGACCTCAGCACCCTCGCGACCTGCCAGGACTCGGTCCAGCCGACGCCCCAGCCCAGCAGACCGAAGGTCTCGAATGCCGTTTTCAAATTTAAGACGAGCGAACAGGACAAAGACGGCGGCCAGCTCCAGGTACTCCGCGTTTAAAGCATGCTCGCAGTGTGCACACAAACGCACGGAAACCCCATCCTGGGAAACCACCATTTGTTTAACGAGACTGACCTTTTTATTGATTCCCTGTAAACTTAAATACAATCATGTTCATTGAAAAGGAAAATAATGTAGTGGAGAGTGTCTGCGTCCTTTCCTCAAAGACTCAAAACCCTGGCAGAGATTCCCTCCCTCCCTCCCCCACCTTTGCAGCATCCCCCAGGTACCACAGGGCTCTGAGCCGAGGCACAGGGTCAATCGTGGTTCTCCACGGCCACAGTCTACACAGGGTGCCGCCTCTCTCCCGGGGGGCCGTCAGACCCACAGATAATGAGCCAGAAGACCCCGCTGGCTTTATCATGGAGCATAACCAGCCCCATTCCTAAAACAGTAACGGGCGGACCGAGAGCATTACCTATCCCAAGAGAGCACGGTGGGTCTGACGGACTGGAGAACTACAGAGATGAGCGGTCAGGAAAGCAGAGGTCCAGTCCAGCCCAGACACTTACTAGCTAGGTGACCTGGAGCCAATCACGTTGGCCTCAGTTTCATCATCTGTAAAAGGGTCAGTGATCTGAAGGCTCTTGCCGACTCTAAACGTGTGTTCCCATGACGCTAAATCTCTTGCTCTCATGGTGCCCGAGTCCGTTCTCTCATTGTAAAGTGAGAATAATAGTTCTCTATTGTACTTTCTGGGAATGTGGGAAGGATCAAACGGGAAGACATGTGAAAGCATGTTTTAAACCATAGAACCAATTCTCCCATCATACTGGAATGTTATTACTTCCCAGATATCAATATTCAAGGAAGCTGATATCACTAAGTCATCTCTATAACTCTTAAAACTACCTTTTCTTTTAGGCTGAAAATTTTTAAAAAATTCATTTTTTTAAGGAATCATCTAACAAAAAATACACTTTCTTGAAAAATGTCAGGACAACATCCAAATGATACATTTGAGATGGAGTCTGAATGGTGTAAAAATGTCACAAATCTAATTGGGGATATACTCAAAAATACCCTTTCACAGACGGTTTTAAGCGGCATCAAAGAAAGCAACCAGGGCATTGTGGTCATAACTGTCCAGAATCTCCAGCAGAAGAGGAACTCTGGTCTTCACATTGGTGCCTTTGAACTTGAACTTATCAATGAAGAGGTCGGTGATCATACCTGAAAAAGAAATGCCTGTTTTCAGCCATCAGCTTTCATGACCCTTTGAACACAGAGAGCCACTTACAGAGGCCTTTTTTAGGGTCTTTCTCCCCTCCCTTTTTTTTTTTGTCCAGACTTGTGATTTCATCACTGAAATCACAAAAGGGTCAGTCACTGTTCTTAAAAATATTAAGTATTGGGGCAGCTAGGTGGGACAGTGGATAAAGCACCGGCCCTGGATTCAGGAGGACCTGAGTTCAAATCCAGCCTCAGACATATAACACTAGCTGTGTGACCCTGGGTAAGTCACTTAACCCCGCTGCCTAGCCAAAAATAAATAAATATATATATAAACATATGTATTTACATTATATTTATATAAATATATATTTACATTATATATATATATATATATATATATATATATATATATATATACACATAAATTATAAGGAACCCAACTTCTAGGACAGTGGTCTCTAAAAATTTCATATTCAATCACAAAAGAGGATTGACAGGGAGGCCACGGGAATTTCCCAAGCACAGAGAGTGGCGTGGTCACAGCTGCATTTTAGGAAGCGCATTGGTGGATGAATGGAGGAGACTTGAGGTAAACAGACCCCCCCACTAGAAGGCCCCCAAAATAGTCCAGAGGTGAACTAAGGAGGGCCTGCCCCAGGGGGACAGCAGCATCAGAGGAGAGAAGGGGACAAACAGGAAGGGAGCTGCAAGGTCGAATGGCCACGCCAGCGGATTGAACACAGGGCACGAAGGACTGAGGAACGGAGGATGACATGGAGGTTGTGAGCCTGGGTGACCTGAAGGATGGGGGTGCCCCCCAAAATAAGAGAAGGAAGAAGTAGGAGCAGCAGGAAGAAGGGAGGCCAGGGAACAGAAAAAGCTCAGTTTAAGATGTCTCCTGGACATTCACTTCAAGGCATCCAACAGGCAGCTGGAGGTGAGCTCCAAGAGATGAGCAGAGAGGGTGGGGCTGGATAAGCGGATCTGAGAATCATCAGCATAGAAATGCTAACTGACTCCATGGAGCTGGTGAGATGACCATGTGAAATGGAAGAGGGCTCAGGAAGGAGGCCTGTCGGGGCCCATGGTTAGAGCACACAAGCTGGGGACATGGAGACAGGAAGGAGGAAAGCTAGGAGAGAAGAGAGGGACAGCCTGTCCAAGGGGGACTGAAGAAAGGCCTTCAGACCTGACAGTGAGGATGTCTGCAGTGCCACCCTCAGCATCCTCACCTGGCTTCCCCAGCTGCCCCTGAGCCCTTCTCTGATCTCCCCAGGGCTGGGGCCATCCAGTCATCTCATACCCACACCTGTGCACACTGTCTCCCCAGTCTTCCCCAGGTGAGACATCGAGTCCTGGACGGTAGGGCCTGCTCTGCTTCTGGCTTGGCTTGCCCAGTGCCTGGCACACGGCAGGGCCTTACTAAATGCTTATTTCTTCTTACCTCCCACCAGCTGTCTGGGCCTGGCCTGGCCCCGGGCCCAGGATCTCCCTGCAACTGCTCGGACAGGCCGTATGCCCCTGGGCCTCTCTGACAGCTGCTGCTGCCTCCTGTTCCCAACTTCTCCCTGGCCTACTCAGGCTGCTGTGACCCACCTCCACCCCCAGCTTCCACGGACCCCTCGGCTGAGCTGCATCTGCCCCCACCACCACAGCTGCTCAGCCCATACAGAGGAGCCCCCCGGTTCCAGGATATCAGAGTTTCAGGGTCTAATTCACTCTTACAACTACTTCAGTAAGGGACAGAGACAGGCAATTAAATGGTTGTTTTGTTTATACAACACTAATAACTAGTCTGGCTAATTTTTTTAAAACTGGAATTGACGAGTCATTTTGCCACCATGTAGCCAAGCCCAGACCTTCACCAGATCTGTAACCATTCCATCAAAAACCCTGCTTTCCAGCTTGATTTGGTCAGGTTTGTGGCTGCATGTAGATACCACAAGATAAGGGGCCACCCACCCCCTCCGGCTGTCTTCAGCATCAAGGCAGCCCATCTTCACAAGGGCCAGAGGCAGCCCCTGCCGATGCCCGTGAAGGAGATACAAAGAAGCGCTCATTAAGTTAAGTGCGGGCTAGGTCCCAGTCACCGTCTGCAGGCCGCCAGCACCGACACGCCCTCCTCAGACCTGCTCATCACCGTGCAGCCACATGACCTGCTTTACTCAGGGATAGGAGGGACTGTGTGATTTCACTGGCATAGGTAACTCCCAGGTGAGGAAACCCTCTCTCCAATGCGAGGCCTAGTCAGAGAGGAGCCCCCAGCACTGAAGACTTAAGTGACCTGCCCAGGGTCCCACAGCAGGACTGGCACCCAGGTCTTCCTGGCTCTGAGGCTAGCTCTGAGGCACGTAATTGTCTCTCTTTGCACAGAGATCACTTCAAACAAACAAACACCCTCCCTTGGACAAAATGTTTCTGAGCGCAGCTGAAATCCTCTCCCAGAAGGCAAAGTGAAGTGGGAACTAATTACTCAAAAAGGCCGCCTTGCCATGTGAGCCAACTATCGGAATACAGGGGAAATCCAAACATGGAAAACATGTAACCTAGGAATCCAGAATAAACAGGAAGTGATCTTTAAAATTTCAAATTTAAAAGTGCCAACCTTATGCTGTATGGTAAGGGGTTGAGTGCTAGGCCTGGCAGGGAAGACCAGGGGCTATGTGCCTCCTCCAACCCTCCCTCCCTCTCTCAGTGCCTGGGGCCCTAACGGTTAAGTCACACTGGAACTGGGAGACGCCTGAAAGAGTAAAAACTCTAAGAGTTCAAACATTTGCTCACCAAGACACCTAAATTAAGGTGTTTACAGTTGCAGGATGTAAACTGCATTGTAAGAGAGTAAATAAAACGCCTGGGAATCCCTAGTGTTTTCTTGGGCTCATTAAGGTTTTACAAACAATACACACCAGGGAAGGATGCCCAGAGGTCTCTCTTATGACTGGTTTTTGTATCAGAGTGAGTAAGCAGTCCGAGAACAGGAGACACAGTCCCTAATAGAGCAGCTCAAGTTGGGATAACCTGGGTCCTGGCACTACCTGGGGCCCAGCTTGGCTGTGTGACCCTGGACAAATCACCTAACCTCTCAGTGGCTTTGGGCATGGGTGAGTTTCCTCATCTCCCGAGAAATCAGAGGTGTGGACAAAAGGCACACACACACACACACACACACACACACACACACACACACACACACACACACACAGAGCTGCCTTCCCTAAAGACTGGCAGGGCACCAGGACGTCCTGGCAGCTTAGATTTGTCATGCTGGGGGCCAGCTTCACCCATCCCGCTTAGCGTGCCAGCTGCTAAGAGCATGGCTGACTGACCGTAGAGCCTTTCCAGGTGCGCGGGCTGTCTCTTGTACTCTTCCTGCAGACGGTCGGCCTCTTCTAGAATACAGCGATATTCCGGGATCAGAAAGTCGGCATTTCCTTCGTGCAGCTGCAGTTCCTTATTGGGATAAGACAAAGTCTCGGGCTAGTCCACAAATCCAAGGAGCTTGAAGGGAATTTTCAGGAATGGCCCTTCCGCCCTGGCCCACCCCCCCAGTGAAGTTCCCTAGTGAAGCAGCAGACAAATAAGCCTCGGGAAGGCTATTTCCAGACCATAGAGTAGGGCAAATTTTTACATGTCTGGCATTTATTTATCCACCAAACTTGACATCCTGACTACATCCTTTTGTCCAGTGTTTCCCAGTCCATGGTAAATTGGTCTACCAAATAACTACTGTGGATGGCCTTCCCTTTATCAAAGCTATAAAATTAAGCAAAGACAAGCTCTCCTTGCCCTCCCAGCCTCCTCCCCTCACCTCAAACCCAAGCCATTCTTCTGCTTTCTTGGCTCCCACTTTCCACCCCTTAAATTAGCCAAGGCCACAATGTCACAGCACCACTGATCATCAGAGCTGGACGGCGCCTGCAAAACCATCGCGTTTGGACTCTCCATTTTAAAGC